ATTCTGTCTCATTGTTTGAGGCCTGAAAACTGAAGCGTAGAGCATACTCGTACCTGTCGCCCTCTGGCAACTGACATATGACGCCTGCTCCACAACCATTTGAAGTAGAGCTTCCATCCACATATACCTTCCAGACTTGGTCTGGAACTTGAAAGTCAGGAGGACGAGTCATCTCAACAATAAAGTCAGCAAAGGCTTGCCCCTTTAGTGCTTTTCTAGGCTCGAAGGTAACTTCGAGGCTCTGTATTTCTATGGCCCATTTGATCATTCGGCCTGACGACTCCATGATGGTCAGTGGCCGCTTGATAGGTTGGTCTGTATACACGACGACTGCATGTGCCAAAAAGTAGGGCTTCAATTTTTTAACAGCCATGAAGAGTGCAAGACCAAATTTCTCCACTAAGGGATACCTCAACTCGGCATTTTTCAGTATGTGACTGACAAAGTAGACCGAGAGCTGACAGCCGTCTCTTTCAGCAAGGAGAACAGCGCTTAACGCATGATCAGAGACGGCCAGGTACATGTAGAGTACTTCTTTGGGCAAAGGGCTGACCAGCCTCGGCAAGGAATGCAAGTGAACTTTCAATTTCTGGAAGGCCGCCTCAGCATCCGGCCCCCATTCAAACCTTGCCTTTTTCTTAATTGCCTGGAAAAAGTATAGGCATTTGTCGCCTGATCGACTTAGAAATCTTCCCAAGGCCGCCAGACAACCTGTTAACTTCTGAACCTCTCGGATGGTGCGAGGCGACTGCATGTCGATGACCGCCTGCACCTTCTCAGGGTTCGCCTTTATTCCTCTCTGATTGATAAGGAATCCGAGAAATTTCCCAGACTCAACTCCAAAGAAACATTTCTTAGGATTGAGCATGACATGGTGCCGCCTGAGTGTGGCGAAAGTTTCTCGGAGGTCCGACAGATGATCTTTCTGAAGTTTAGACTTGACAATCATATCATCAATATATGCCTCGACATTTCTCCCAATCTGATCAAAGAACACAGTGTTTATCATTCGCTGGAAAGTGGCCGGGGAATTCTTAAGACCAAACGGCATGACCGTGTAACAGTATAACCCCTGATCAGTGACGAAGGCCGTCTTCTCCTGATCTTTCTTCCATAAAGGAATTTGATGGAAACCAGAGTAGGCGTCCATAAAGCTCATCAAAGCATGGCCGGCTGTTGAGTCTACCAGGTTATCAATTTTAGGCAGAGGGTAACTGTCTTTGGGGCACGCCTTGTTTAAGTCTGTGTAGTCTACACACATTCGCCAGGTGCCATTCGGCTTTTTAACAAGCACCACATTTGCAACCCAGTTTGGGAAGTAACATTGCCGAATGAACCCTGCATCAAGTAATTTTTTAACTTCGGCGGCTGCCGCCTGACTTCTTTCTTCGCCATGGTTCCGCTTCTTCTGCCGTACCAGCTTCTTTTTCAGATCCACGGCCAGTTTATGTACCGCCAGATCAGGACTAATGCCTTGCATTTCATGGACTTCGAATGCAAAGATGTCCTTGTATTCTTTCAATAGTTTGTGAAAGTCGTCACCCAGGTCCCTTAGAGCAGTCGTCCCAACCTTGATTGTTCTGTCAGGACGCGAGTCATCTAAGTTCAGGTCCGTATGCTCACCAGCCGGCTGAGGGCGGAATTCATCCGACCGCTCCTCTGCCAATGATTGCTATTTTCTGTTTTTCTTGCGGCCCCCGTCTGGGATGCCTTTCTCTTTTTGCCGCCTGCTTCTTGAACAGGCGCACTCTCCTTAACATTGTCAAGGTCTATTTTTCCCCCACTCGACCTAGCGGCCATAACAGTGGGCTTGACATCCGAGAGATAGCACTCTCGGGCCATCCTCTGATCTCCCCTTAGGGACCCGACTGTTCCATTATCCCTCTCAAACTTGAGCAACATAAGAGATGGGATTATAATAGCCTTAGAATTATTCAGGGTTGGTCGTCCCAGAATCATGTTGTAGGCCGAGAGTTCTTCTACTACCAGGAACCGGACTACCATGTGTCGTCCTTCCCCTTTTTCTCCCAGGCGGATGGGTAAATCCACTCGTCCCACTGGGTGGACGACTCCTCCTCCAAACCCTACTAAAGGGTGGGATGCCGAATGTATGCAATCAGTCTGATATTTTAGTTTCGACAGACATTTGCTACTGATGAGATCTGAGGAGCTTCCGGTATCTATGAGGATTCGGCCAACTCTCTGGTTGGCCACTTTACATTCAATAACGATAGGGTCGTCATGCGGCCCTCTTACCCTTCCTATATCTTCTTCAGTGATGACAATCTCAGGAAATGAATATTTGGAGGGTCGTTCTTGGTGAACGGAATTTACATCTAACCCTCTGATATTGTCTTTGTTGCCCCTAATAGTGGGGTCGCCTCCTGAGAAGCCGCCTGCAATGGTGTAGACGACTGCATCATCTGTATCGGAGCTGTCGGCCTGTTGATTCTTTTTGGTCGACTGCTTTTTTGAGGAAGTGTTCCCCGTAGATTTCTTGACATAAGTGTCAAGGTCACCTTGCTCAGCCAGGCGGTCCAGATACCGCATGAGAGTGATGCATTCATTGGTGTGATGACCAACATCTTCATGATAATCACAGAATTTTTCTTGGTTCCGATTGTTTGCAGAACCCTTCATGGTGACCGGCTTCTCAATTGAGATCCGTCCCTTGATTTCCTTTAGGATAATTTGGCTATCCTTGTTAAACACATACTTTAGGGAGTATGGTTTGAATTCTTTTTTCTTCTTCTGGGACGACTGTTTAGAGGAATCAGTTGCCCAGACCTCTTTTCTCTTCTCGTCTTTGTTTGACGACTGCTTCTGTCGTCCTTCTCTTTTGTCGGACCTTTTCCCGTCTGACTGTTTTACCGTACTACAAAGATCAGTCGCCTGTATATAGGCTTCTGCTTCAATCAAGGCCTCTTGAAGAGTCGCCACCCTCTTTCGGACCAAATCAAATTTGAAGGTCGACCCGTCTTTGAGACCTCTGAAAAAGTCAGTATAGGCTACTTCATCCGGTAACCCTTGAATCTGTATTCTCATCAGGTTAAATCGCCTGATGTAAGAACGAAGCCCCTCCTTCTCGCCCTGCTGAATTGTTCCTAAATCAAGGGTCGTCTTCTTCGCAGGGATGTTCATGGCGAAGTTGGAGGTGAATAAGTAAGCAAGCGTCTTGAAGTTATTTACACAACCAGTCGGCAGGTTGCCGAACCATTGTTGTGCGATTCCTTTGAGAGTCGCTGGGAAACACTTGCACCAAGTAGGATCATCCAACCCTTGAAGGTACATCAGGTTGGTGAATGTCATCAGATGGTCTTCTAGGTTAGTAGTGCCGTCATAGGCGCCTACTAATACATTTTTCACTTTGGTCGGCTAAGCGGCTTCAGTAATTTCCTTGGAGAAGGCCGACGGCTGTTCACCAAGTCTAAGCAACCGTAGCTGCCAGTCCATAGGTTGGACATTTTTTGCTGCATGTCCACCAAACGGAGGTGGCTGTAAAAAATACTGTTATTGCGGTACAAACGGTAAGTTTGGTACCGCCTGGTCGCTTTGAAAGCCGGACTGACGGGAGGTGCCGCCTGACTGACCCTCATGATACGACTGAGTATGCCTCATCGAGGTATTTCGCAGACTGTCTTGGAAGTTTGAAGTAGAGGCCGACTCTGACAATCGGTCACTCTTCTTCTGCTCTAGCAGTAGCCGAGCGTCTGTGTATGTTTTCCTCGACCCGTCCGCCTGAATATGACGAACAGGTTTCCTATTTCCTGGAGTAGGAAAACGGTATTTTGTGAAATCAAGGGCAGGTGGCTCCCACTTCCTAGATTTAGGATGAGGGGTCGCCTCTCGCCCTTGAACTGGCTTCCTCTTCCGTGAAGTGGAGGGTTTCTTAGCCGACTGCTCCTTGTCCAGAGCAGGCGGCTTCTTGTTGATCAACTCTTGAATTTCTCCCTTGAAGTCCCTCATGAAGGTCATGAGTTCGTTCCTTGTGATGGGAGCAGACCCATCAGTCGGCTGCTGCCGAACAGGCGGTGTGCCTGCTGGCTCGCTTCCAGTTTGAAGATGTTCCTGTTCCTCCTTTCGGTATGACGGGTACGTCGGGCCCTTAGGGTCCCGTCTGAAGCTGTGTGAGCTTTAACTTCAAATTCATTCTCAGTATCGTGGTCCGACTGAACTAGAGGATCGTCCAGGGGACGTCTCTCTTCAAGAGCCGGTACAAACGTGGGTGCCATCTCAGAAGTACTCTCCCCACAGACGGCGCCAAAATGTTTCGGGGTTTTCTGATGTCCTGCGGGAGAGTTACAATTCCGAGACTGGAACCGGACGCCTGTACCTGCAAAACAAACGGATGCTCCGGATGATTGGAGATCCGCCTCCGACGGTCAAGTTAGTACTTGATTAAGGAGTAATTAATGCGGAAATTAAAGTGATTGGGTCTCTCTAGGTGAGAGTGTTTAATGTGTGTAATCTGCGTTCTCCCCCTTAATGAGGATTAAGGGAGGTATTTTAACCTCGGGAAACGTGCCAATCTAGGTTTAGGTTAACCTTGGGCTGATTGGGCTTCCCTCGGAAGTTGGGCCTAGGTGACCGGCTTCTCCATTAGGCATGGAGTATGCCACGTGTCATGACATAGTAAGTCCAGGGTGGACGAATAAGCGTGTGCCACGTGGCAAGCCCTGAGATGTCCAACTGGGGGACACTTGGCAGGACCTGATTGGCCCACGTGGCGCATTCCGATTGGTGGGAGCAAAATCCCCTAATCAGTAATCATACGCATCATTTTGTTGTTTTGTCATCATACCACACTAGTGGAAAATTTCTCATTCGTAACAGGCTATTTGTAACGGGCAAAGCTTTGCCCGTTACAATTAAGATATTCGTAACGGGCAAAATAGTGTCCGTTACGAATACTTATTTATTCGTAACGGGCAAAATAGTGTCTGTTACGAATACGTACCGTTACGAATACTATATTACACGTGAATGACCAAACTTAGCCCAACTGATGAGAGGAGAGCCCAATACTTGGCTTTTTAGGGTTTCACTCCCTCTCTTTCTCATCAGTCCCTCACTCCCTCCTCTCCGTCATTCACCTCTCTCTCTCCTCTCCTCTTTCTCCGTCATTTCCTATCTCCTCTCCTCTTTCTCTGTTGGTTGTTGTTTTGGTGTTTTGGGCGGAGGTGTAACCGGCGGTGACGGAATTCTTTCTCAAAAACCCACTCCAGTTCGACCAGGGTCCGAACCTGGTTAGCGTCGATTGTGGCGACGTTGAGAACAACCAAGCCCAGGCCATAAGCTTCTTCCTCTTTAGATCTAAGTCGTTGAACGAACCGATGCTAGGTAAGATTTTTGAGATATTTTGTGCTGAATTTTTGCAAATTCAGGAATGATTATTGTTTTTTTTAGATCTAAAGTTTCTGATTTTATTCCAATTCTATCTTCATTATGTATTTTAATCTCCTCAATTTTTTTTCAGCTCTCTAATTTGAGTGATTTCTGAATTTTCATCTTTAGTTTAATTTCTTAGTAGGATTTTTTTCCGTTCACAGGTTCGTTTCGATTTCCTTCTCTTTTGCATTCTTTTCGTTCTTCTATTTGATGTGTTCGTTTTTTTGATCTTCGCATTGAATTTCTTAGGATTTGTAATTGGTTATTGTTCGAGAATTATTTAGGTGTTTGATTCTTAGTGTTGATTTTAGGATTTGTGATTTAGGATTGTTTATTTCAATGTTCTGAGGAATTTGTGGTGTAAATCTTGTAGATCTGTAAATTTATTTGAATTTTGAAAATGGCTATTTAGTTTTGTTTTTTGTGAATTTGAATTTTGCTTGGAAATGAGATGCGATTTGGTAGTTTTGACTTTAAATTGGTGAAAAACATTCTGATTTCTGAGATCTTTAAGTAATGCGCAAATATAGTTGTGCTTTATGACGAAATTCCAACACTCTATCATGCTAAAACCTGATCTTCTTTATGTTTGGTGTCTTAGTTTTAGTTTTTCTAGAATGGTGACCCTTTCATGGCTTCATTATACTGATTTAAACTCTGCTCTTTTTCTTATTCTGCATTTCTGCTTAACAATAGGCGACTCGAATTATTGGATATGAGTAACGTTTCATACTTAGAGTTTGTTACTGTATTTTGTTCAGGAAGTTTGTAAGTTTCCAAGCTAGCCACATAGCTTATACATGTTGGTATTGTGGTTCCTGAGTTTTTCATAATAGCAAGAGTAATTACCAGTACCTGAGTAATGAAGCTTTTTGCACATAAGCATACTTGTTAGTATTAATGCATAAATATCTGCCTGTCAAGACAGTTGCAGCATTTCGTTTAAACCGAATTGAACCTATACTATGTGATACAATAATCACTTACTATGAGAATACATTTTTATGATCAATTGCCATTCCATTTCATGCTTCTCTGCACCTGCAGTTCTGCTTGCCTTTGTACCTTGATATTGAATTGTTGAGTAAGCTATATTTCTTTCTTATTGTTATTCTTTAGATTTTAACTTTTATGCTTGTTCTGTCTCTTCTCTTCAGGCACTTCTTTCCTTGTGTTCTGATGGAACAATTTCTGCAAAAGGTGCCATAGATTTGTGTGTCAATCAAATGAAGTGCGTTTTAAGCTCTCAACAACTTCCCGAGAATGCTTCTGTTGAAATTATTGGGCGAGCATACCATGCAACAGAAACATTTGTAGAGGTAGTGACCGACTGACCTTTTTTTTTTTTTTACACATTTGTTGGGTTTTTTGTTTCTGGTTACAAGTTCTTCTTTGCTCACCTTTGTTTCTCAATGAGTAATATATGCTAGTGGGCAGAGGGGTGGGCATTTGGATTGGGACTTGTAAGTGTCGAATAGGCTGTTCAGATTTTGTACACTTACTTGGATTTTGTAGCGTACATGATGACTGTGTTTCAATGTCTGCAGGGACTACTCTATGCTAGATCACTGCTTAAGAAACTTGTTGGGAGCAGTGACTTACCTGTTAGTTCTGAAAGAAGCAAGGATGCAGATGATGGATCATCTGAAGCTGGAAGCTCTAGTGCTGGTAATCAAATTACAGATGAACTATCTGAGCTCTTGTCGCAAGCTGATGCCTGGCTTCGACGTGCGGAATTACTTCAGAGCCATCTTGGATCAGGAATTGCTGTTTCTCTTGATGATATTGCTGACCAGGAGTCTATTCTTGTCTTCGTGACAGATTGATTGGGGAGGAACGTTATAGCATGGCTGTCTATACTTGCAAAAAGTGCAAGGTACTTCCCTCTGTTTTAAATTGATTGACCTCATCTCTATTTTGGTAAGATCCCACAGTTGGCAGTATTTAGGAGAGTACAGTCTTGCACTGCTGTTAGCCTAGTAGATTAGTAAAATGAATTGAAGAGTTATGAAACTGGTTGGTAGTTTAACGGGAAATTCAACTTCAATAGAGCTCGTGAGCTTTGTTTACTTTGTTAATTGTGCTTCTTGCTTTTGTTAGCGTGCTTCTCTCGACTCTTGTGAGCTCTTCTAAAGCTTCGTAGTTCCGAAGCTTAATTATGCTTTAATTATGTAATTTTATGGTGAAATCAACTTATTTTTTTTTTAAATTTTGATTTTTTTTTAAATCAGCTTATTTGATGTAATCCAATTTTTTTTTTTTTTTTTATTTTGGACAGGCTGATTCAATTATGATTCAACTTTTTTTTTAATTTTGATATATTTTTTTTCAATTATGTTAATTTGGTTTGTTGAAATTATTGAATGCAGGTGGAGCATATAATATCTACACAAGAGAGCTTAAAGACTCAACGTCTCGGACCACAATGTTGGGATAAAACTTGTTTTTATTACAATTATGATTTGTTTTTGCTCTTTTATTAGTCTTAGTCTTAAGAAACTTGCGACATTATATGAGCAAGTTGATGTATTTTGAAGTGATAATGAATATATTTTTTCTTATAGTATATTAGATGTGTATTATACTTGTGTAATAAAAAAAATTATCTGTGTATAATACCGTGTTAAAAAAAAATTATCTCATTACTTGAGAAAATGATCCAGCATGTGCTAGCACGTGCTGGATTTTTTTTTAATTGCATCAAACACTATTCGTAACGGGCAGATATAATGCCCGTTACGAATAGCCTGTTATCGTAACGGGAAAAATAAATGCTTGTTACGAATAACGGGCTATTCGTAACGGGCACCTGAAACGCCCGTTACGAATAACCCATTATTCGTAACGGGCATTTCAGGCAATTGAAATGCCCGTTACGAATAACAGGCTATTCGTAACGGGCACTTAAAATGCCCGTTACGTATAACAGGCTATTTGTGACGGGCACTTAAAATGCCCGTTACGAATAACCCATTATTCGTAACGGACACTTGAAATGCCCGTTACGAATAACTACTTATTCGTAACGGACATTGTAAGTGCCCGTTACGAATAAGTAGTTATTCGTAACGGACGGTGCCCGTTAAGAATAATAATGGCCATCCGTAACGGCCGCATACGTAACGGACGCTGCCCGTTACGGATGAGCCCTTATTGCCCGTTACGGATGGCCTTTTTTCCACTAGAGCACAACCATGTTTGTAAATTTGTAATCTAATACTTTGAAATAAATAAGTTAATCATGTTTTTTTTAAAAAAAAAAAAATATTTATGCAAGTGTATTTGATGATCAGTGAATTCGTGGAATTGGAGTTATGTTGATAAATATATGTTTCTCACGGCAACTTAGTTTATATGGCTTTATTTGATGTAAACTTTTGGATTATCTTAATTGTGTCAAGACATTGTATTCGAATATAGAGTATCATTTTGAGGTTATAGGGTAACTTGTATTATTTTTGGGTTGAGATTTGATTAATTTTGGGTACTAGTTTGATTGCCCTAAGAGTTGAGATATTTATTAATTGAATTGTTATGTAATTTGGGAACTGTGCCATTGTTGAGATATTATCTATTTGTTTATGAATAATTATTTGATCGATATATGAGATCAAAAGGTTGAGGAATTATTATTTTGTTCTTGGTTTGTGGCTCGGCGTTATATAACTTAGTCCTTGGCTTGTTGGTAAGAGGGTAATAATCATGAGTTAAGAATAAGGTACAATCTTTATTTATATTTATTTTTCTATGGTCCCATAAAGTGGGAATTGGCCCGTATGTGGTCTGGTTCAAGGTGTTTTCTGGTTATTGGGAGTATTCAAGTTTTTATACTTGTTGGTTTTATTCGAATTACCCATGTCCAAGGCTAGGTATATAACAAAGAGCATGGGACACTATTGGTTATGAGTTGAGTAAAGGATTATTATTATTCGAGGTTTATTTTTGAAAAAGGTTATTTTCAGAGTACAATGTGTAATGTAGTTTCGAACTACATTTTTTAATTGATATATTAATGTTAATTATTATATTATACTCTATATTCTGATATGTGGTGATTACTCAGCTTTTTGCTGACTGTGTGTTGTTTTATTGTGCTATTTGTGTTTGCGGCCATGTCTTTTTCTTATGGTGGCCCTGCGATGATCTATTTTGGAATTTGTCCTTAATGGTGAGTAGTCAAGATTGTAACAGGTTGATCAAGAGATGATCGTAGCTAAAGGAGCTCAAGTGTTTCGATTAGTTTGTTATAACAAGTTTAATTTATAAAGTTGTATAACTAGCTCACCTATATTTATTGGGTTGTATTTATTGGGATTTGTAAGCCTTAACACTTGATAGGATGTCGAGCGTGGCGGTAATACCTCCGATTTAGGTGTATGTTTTCGCAAATTTTATTTAAAGGTTGTCTATATTTCCATTATTTATTGGTTGTTATTAGCTAGTAAATCGGGGTTGTTACACCCTTCCAGATGCTCCAGTCTCCCCGGTGAAGTATGCTACAAGCCCCAACAATTCCTCTTCTCAAAAATTTGAAGTTATTGGTTTCTTCTTGTCGTTCCAAATCTAGAAGGCAAAGTCATTCTCTAAGAAGTTTATCTTCCTCTGTTTTTACTAACCCTTTGTTTTGCAGGATGAGTGGCTCAAAAAGGAAAGCGTCTTGTCCCACCGAACTTTTATGGGTTTTGAATAGAAAGTAGTTATATGGTTCTACCCTTAATGTTCTAGTGTGTAATTTAATTTGTGATTAATTTAGGGTTTTGCTATTGTAAAAAAAATATTTCGAGTTACGGATCAAAAGTTATGATGATTTTAAAAACGAATCACCGCGCACAGTGCAAAAGCGTGTCACGGGAGTGTGCCCCGTCTGACGGTGCCTGGCACCGTGTCACGTTACTGAACATCGTGTCACGGTGCTATTTTCAAAGCTTTTTCGCGTCAAATTCCACCGTGACACGGTACTTAACACCGTGTCACGGTGCTTTTTCCGTGTAATTTTTGCGTTTTCCATAAGGTGACACGGTATACTGTACCGTGCCACGGTGGACACTGTCGTGGCACGGTACATGTGCCATGTTGTAGACATCTACTTTTGTCCTCCTGTCCCGACAGGAAGTGCAATGACGATAAATACATAAAGACTAGCCCAAATTAAAGAAAAGCCAAAACAAAGGTCCTTTTAACTAAACCCGATCATAATTAGGCTTAAGCCCGTGCTTAAACCCTAGAAATGACAGATTTAGGAGCGCCTAGGTTAAAACTTAGTGCTGCCGCAGAAAAAGCCGCGCGCATCTCACAAAGTCGCGCTTGGCTGTCGCGCGCAACTAATTCAGCTGCGCGCGACACCCAGCGCAACTTTCAGAGTTGCGCTGTGGAAGATTTGTAATTATTTGAAAATTATACGAAAAATATAAAATCGAATCTTACCATAAAGCCGCGCGCAAGACAAAAAGTCGCGCTACATATGGCAGCGCAACTCTATAACTTGCGTTGGGATGCCGCGCACAACTTCTTCTGTTGCGCGCGAAACCTGTTGCGGCAAAAAGCTCGAAACCCTAAACCTAATCCTTCTCTATAAATACGAGCTTAAACCGAGGCTTCAACAGACAGAAATTAACCTAAAAACTCTGGCGAAATAACTTGTGAACTTGTGCAACCTAGCCGTCTTGTCCTAAACACTCACCCTTTCGATACTTTGTTACTACGGTGGAGGTTCCCCAACAAGAAGGTGTCTATAAGTGTTCTAAACGGAGATTTAGCAAAGAGAAGTGGTAAATTCCCGAGCACTTAGTTAAATCACCTTTATTTTCTTGTTTAAAAGGACTTTAATTAATTAATTAGTGTTGTTTGATCACTTTTAAAATAATTAATTAATCAATTCCACATAGTATCTTGCGTTAAATAAACACTAGAATTGAATTAAATAATTGTTGGTTGATCACCTAAGCCAAGGCGAATCTTGTTTATTTATTGTTCTTCCACGAATTTAATTAAATAAGAATAATGACTTTGCAATGTAATTCCTACGTGAATTAATGCTTGTAAATAAGATCAACTAACATAGTTTTAGGTATCACGTTGCATATATTGTTTGGTGATGAAATTGTGAAAAAGGAAGAGCTAGTAGAGGCCGTACTAGGGCTAGGACGACGATTCCCCTCTAAAAGGAACGTTATCTTAGTACCCTCGCTCCCGAACTCATTTCTGGTTTATAGACCAATTTGGGCATGGGTAAACTTATGATTTGTGCTAATTATTCCATGAACTCCACATGAAAGAAAGGCATGAACGAGGTTTATGAGTTTTTCCTAAAACGCATTGGTGACTACTACTTGTTTCTTATAAAAAAGCGTGATGATAGAATCAATTCTAATTCAAGGTCCCCCAAACAGTCAGGAATTCAAATCCTACTACACCTTAACAAGTGTAAAGTCCTAGGATTTTAAGTGGCCCAAGGCATTTAAGGAGAGTACCCCTTACGATGGGAACCCTCTCCTTATAGTGGCGACTCCGCTAGGGACTTAGAGGTTACAAGATTAGTTCATAGTTATGGTTCAAGGTTTCCAACACTAGGTTGCCTATGGATTGTAACGAGAACTAACTTGGATAATCTCTAGTTAGAGAGCGAGACTCGAATGCATAATATCTTCCTTTTTCACAAAAGTAAAAATCAAACAAGCAACATTGCATCATGCATAATCATAGCACAGTTTAACCATTGGGGATTGGCTCATTGACTAGGGGTTACCAACACTAGGCTTCTATCCAAAAATCAATAACATTCATCCCACCCATATCGCCAACAAAATGTTGGGAGGGCTATGTCGTGGGTCAACACGTTGAGTGATTGATTCGTGCATCGTCCCTTAAGATATGGTACCTTTGGACACCCAAACCTTGACCTTAGAATGACATTGTATGGTTAGACGGTTCCTTTTATGTGCTTATGTGACTACATGAATATGAGCTTCGTGTCTAATCTAACTAATTCCAAATTGTTACCTAGAGATGTAATAAAAAAAATTCGCAAACATTATGGTTTGACAAAAATAAAATAAAATAAAATAAAAATAAAATAAAATAAAATTATGGAAAAAAAATAAATAAAAAAAATTGTCGAACATACCAGGTGGCACGCGCAACTAACAAAGTTGCACGCGCCAAGCGCAAGTTCTGAAGTTGCGCGCGGCACCTCCGCGCAAATCTGTGTCATGCGCGCGCCCACTGTTCAACTTTGATTTTGACTCGTTACGAGAAATATCATACGGAGAAAACTATATTACCGCTTCAAGGTTAATCGTTAAGTAGGTGCTAAAAATATCTCTTTGGCTAACAACGTTGTCTAACTTAGTTACCTTTACTTTGATCGTCGTTTTCTCTTTTTTTTTCAAAAAAAAAATAAATTCAAAATAAAATGTTTTTTATCGTTTTTTTTGCATTTTTGCAAAAAAAATAAAAATTGTTTTTTTACCGTTCCTTTTGCGTTTTCGCAAAGAAAAAAAAATGTTTTTTACCGTTCCTTTTGCGCTTTCGCACAAAAAAAAAAATAATAAAGGCATATGGCAGATC